AGCCATTGAAACTTATTCTTGAGGCTAATTCAAAATTCGACTCAAACTGGCAGAAAAAGTAATTTAAGCTTCAAGACATTGTCATTACAACAGATAAGAAGGAATATCATTAGAATTATTCTCCTTCCCCCTTTTTTCTTCTTAAAAATAAGTGGTAGTCGAATATAGAAGGACAGTAACAAACGTATATATTGTTGCCTCCTCACGACCATGCGGTACTGTAATATATAACAGTGACGATCAGGCCTAGTCAAAATAAGAATAGTTTATATTTTTTATCTTTGCCCACTCCCACATGCACACTTATATGTATCGAATTCTGTTCACTTCTTTTACATTTTTATTTTAATAACACAAACTGAAGAGTATCTTTAGAAGATCGAAACTAGTCCAGTATTTTTTTATATAAATTAGAATTTTATTTTTTTTATATAAATTAGAATTTTATTGTTTTATTAGTTTTTCTTAAAAAGCATTTTTCATATTTGTCATATATCCTTATTAGTCTTAAATTATTTTTTATCAGCGAATCGCATATATAGATATATAAATAAAAACGGGATATCACCAACGACAAAAATATTTTTGGATCATAATTACATCTTGAATTACATTGACAAAGAAAACGGGTTTTTCTCTTATCGTCATATCTACTCGTACCTACGCGTACCTACTCATACCCTGACGTTGCAGCAACACTATTAAGTGGTGTTCGATCTAGTAACGAAATGTTATGTCTCCATCAACTGACTTTCAAACAAGATCCCACTCGCACAGAAACATTCACATACTGCCTGCTACACAATCTGGAATTTTAGTGTCAGACAAAATTGTTCATGATGAGTTATGCATTTTTTATTGTCAAAATTAGACTACACCCCCCGTTTTGTATATCACATTTGTAATCAGGAGCATAGATACCCCAAAGTGTTTCCTACAGAACGGGTGCCAGTCGAGACCTTGGTTTTCAGTAATTCAGCTTCTTGTTCAGCGTTATCCAGTTTCGTTCGAGACCCACGATTGATGCCTGGTGACTTCTGATGACATTAAAATGACATGATACATACGTAGTCGGTCACCCTAAATCTCGTGCCAATGTTCGTTTTTCGAAACGAATTAAAGAACATAGATTGATGCTGCCATGGAAAAAAATATGTTTTTATGATGCGAGTTTCAGCGTTATGGCTCGGTTTCCCAGGGATCAGCTGGAAAACTGGGTTTTCAACAAATTTTGAAAGAATCAGTAAATTACAAATAAAAGTGTAAGGCATCACAGTGATACTAGTCTGCATTAATTAGCACTTAAGCAATAAGATAAAGAAGTTATGAAGACTCGTGGCTGACACATCCAAAATGCTGCTGAGGTATGTATACTTAAATAAGAAGAAAATACATGTTTCATAAAACGTTCAGTATTTATAATATAGGTTATCGTCAATTTGTATATTTCTACTAAATCAACCTGTTGAATAGTATTATCTTTGAGTAGTAGTAAAGGAAGAGTAATAATCGTATTTGGCAAAAAAGTGGCTGTTTGACAAAATAAAATATTCATTTTGATAAGATGGGCAATGCAGTATTTAGTGTTCAAATGTCTCAGTCTCTCCACACTCTCAAAACTGATCATCTGTTAGGCTTCGTTTGTGCAGATCATATTTTAATTGTGTAAGACCTATGCGATAACGAGAATAGTTGATTTCACATATGCTCAAATATATACAAAAAAGTGTAATCAGTGTAATCAGTCAAAATATATATTGAAAGTGTAATCAGTGCAATCGTATTACTAATGAAACTTCTTGCGGTAAGACAAACTAAAGTATGCATTTATTGCTAGCCTTAATTCAAGAAATTATACTAAGACAGCGCTGTCTCTCCGATAATACCATTCTAGATACTTCGGTTCAATGATACTGATAATAAAACCAGTGGAAACTCACTAAAAGATTTAAAAATTAATGGAATATACTTTGGTTTTTGAAAGGTTTTCTAGAAATCTTTTCATGTAACGAGATGTTTTTTACCAATCTTAAGCACAGACAAGGTTGAGAAGATAAAACAGAGTTAATTTTGATATTTTGAAGTAGTCTGGATCGATTTCGAGTGAATTATGAATTTTTTTCATTTACGGTGAAAAATGCATTATTTAACATAGTATAGGTTTCCACTAGGTTTCTGAGCTTTTGTCTCCAAACACATATTGCCCAAGCTTCAGAATAGTCGAAAACCTATGCTCAAATCACCTCCGAGAGTGGCAGGCATCAAATGGAGGTTTCAGATTTTCATGGATGTACAGTATAGCTGTCAGTGTGTTCTGCATATTTTGAAACTATATGTTGCTATGGAGACGCAGCAATCGGCAGCGTTGCTTACGGAAGACCCATCAGCTAGACCACTTGCAGACAGGATTTTGAACCTGTTATTTTTACCAATATATTTTCCACAGAGACTTCTATAAACCACATCTCTTTATCGTTTGTTTATCAAACGTTATCCTGAAAAGAGTTTTCTGCAGTATATTTTTTAATGGATAATAGTTCTGTTAGTTTGTTCGATAAGGAGTTTTACAAAGTAATATAAAAGATAGGACAATGGAAAACGTCCAGTACACTTCATGTAACAGACCCACCCTTGCTGTTTTTGTAGATTTCGCAACAGTTTTTGATAAGATGTGGTATCCAGTGCTTATGAAAACACTCGAAAGCTTACAGATGTCTTTAGACTTGAGACGTTGGAGTTCTATCTAACTGGTTACAAAATCGCAAGGTCATTATAAGTCACGGTAAAGTACGTCTGGATTGTTTCCTGTGTTAGTTGGCGCTCCGCAAGGTAGTGTGCTAGTGGCACTCGTATTAGGGGTGTTAATTTAGTTTTATTTTTCATTTATAATAATGGATAAAACTAAATGAATCATTTATACTTAAAAAATAAAGATAAATAAATGAAAAAATAAATTATCTTTATTTTATAAAAGTAAATGATCCATTTATCTTTATTTTATAAAAGTAAATGATTCCTTTATATTTATTTATTTATTTGTACCTTTATTTTTAAAAATAAATAAATAAATATAAAGGAATCATTTACTTTTACAAAATAAAGATAATTTTTTTTTTCATTTATTTATGTTTATTTTTTAAGTATAAATGATTCATTTACATTTATTTTCCAAAGTAACACTAAATTAACACCCCTAACTCGTATTTTGACTTCATATCCACTTTCTGCCATCTTACTTTTTACAAATTATCTCATCTCTTCGCTGGCGATCTTACTATGAGTACTAAATGCGCACTAGAAAAGAGACTCTCTAACAACATTAAATATTTAGAATTTTAAGGGAGAATAGTTTTAGAATCGTTAGAAAGATTTTCGGATGATCACATTTTGCCAGTGAATGTATCCAAGACAAAAGCAATGATACTTCACGCCGTGGTAGCTGTCAGAAAATCTGAGATTAAGTATACGAATGTTAAAATAGAGTACGTAACCTCATCTAAGTGTTTAGGTGTAGAAATAGGAAAGAAGTTAGGGTGGGACAAACACATTGAGAGTACACTGAAGAATGTGAGAAACTCTTATTGCTTCCTAAGAAAGATCTTCCACACAATACCGAAAAATGAAATAAAATTCGTAGAATGTTTTGCGCATATTGTCTTCCTCATTTTATTTGGCTCTACTATACTCTGTTTCACCTCACTGAAAAGCAGAGAGAAAAAATCGCGTATGTTTACCTGACAGGTCTGCGGTTGGTGTATGGTCTTTGGGGGTACGAAGACTTTGCAACTTTAGCGCTCAGTAGAGAATTTTCTTTGAGAGATTATCTTTACAGACACTGGATTAGATTTCAAAAACACCTTGATGAATCTCCTCAGGTTGACTCTTACCGGCAGCCTTGGACTGTCTTTCTCATCGCCAGTTCACCTTCCAAAAGTATGGATTTTCGGAAAAACAGTGTGTTTCCTAACCGTTTAGCGGAACGAGCCATGCATACATATCTGGATTTCCTGTCCTCAAGAATGTACACAAAAATAAGTACGGTAGTTTTAAGAAAAGTTCTTCTCCTCTTGAACAATTTTCACCAACTAATACAACAGAAAGTTTAAATTCAGAATCTATATATGTTTATTTTTAAGTTTGCTCTGGTTTATTTAACAAAACGTTTTACTTTATAACCCTGTGTGTTCAGACTTATGTTTGTCTACGTGTTTTCTCATGACAGTTGGAACACAGTTTTATACACCATTTGACAGTCTGTATTCTGAAGTATATTACGCTATTTTTAGATCCAGAAAAAACGCACTTTCGTTCTTCTTTACTAATGTCACCCTATATTGTACGGTATGAACATATCATCCTATATTACTACTGTCGCCACCTGGTGGTGACAGTAGTAACTCATAATTATAAAACGCTCATATGAGTTGAGCGTTTTATAATTGAAGTTTATACTATATACAACTGCCTGCAAGTTTAAATAATAAATCAACTATAAAACTGTACAACAACCTTGGCATTCATGAGAAAGACAAAAACAGAATGAGATTTGTAGAAGACGATAGAACATACCATCAACATTCAGTCTCCGAGCGTACGACTTTTCGAAACAAATCCAAAGTGACTTGCAGCGATAATGACTGTTAACATGCGCAGAATTCTTGAAGTACAATAAATTCCACCATAAAATGGAACAGGAGTACAGCCGATAGAAATCTTTGATTCACCTGTAGTTGGACCGAATTCGACGAATTCGAATTTATTCTCGAGCGCCATTCGAGTAACTGTAGCCAATTTGACTGGATACAATTTGATATTTTGGTTCGAATCTGTTAAATACTGATTCAGCTTCTCGTAGTCAAAACCAGCAATGTCGGATGTGATCAACGAAGGGTAGAACTGAAACAACACAGAGCTAGCCACAATATGGTTATTTAATTTCAGTTGAACCAGTCGAGCCAAATTATTTACATGTAGAGGATCAACTTCTTTATCACTGATTAATTCTCCACTACGCTTCAGCTGTTCAATGAAGTCGACCGAAGGTTTCATCATTGTTGGAGTTGATTCGTGCTTCATACGTTGAGCCGCTACTTGTTCATGAGCACTAACAACGAATTGAGAGTCTTTAAGTTCCCATTCATTTTTAATTAGTCGAATGCCATTTGCTTTATCAAAAGGAGCTTCACGTACTCGTTTATTTTGCTTGCGAAGATGAGCCAGATATTTCGGCCAAGTCATACCGTGATAAGGCCTCAAGTCAAGAATAAAAGTATCTGGCAAAGATATTCGAAGCCATTTATTTCTTATTATCGCTTGGGTCAGAGGTAGTTTCGCCTTGCTGAAGCTCATTAAAATATGACAGCGTTCAGCCTTTGGCAAACTTAAGTTCCACTTAAGCACTAGTTGCAGCAGCAATCGGTCGACTGCAATTCTACATTCATCATTAGATACTTCAAAATTGAGGGTTTCGCAAATGAACTGAGGAGATTCGATTAAGAATAATGAAGAGTGAAATGGATAGTGACAGCCTAATAAACCAAAGCGACACACAAAATTCCGCTTAACATAACCCATGAAGGAGCGCAGAAACGGAGGGAAGTATTGAGATAAATCGTATTCTTTGAGCACCGTAACGAACACAAGAGCTACGGTATCATCAGAGACTGAATGAGCGTTAGATCCAAGGACTGGTGCGAACTCATCCAGACGAGGAGAAATAGGAAGTGTTTCATTTAAACCATCGATATAAACTCGTAAACAAACCGGCATGACACCAGGTATTGTAGCGTTTTGATAAGCATAAATCAATTGCAGCACTGAAGAGCCAGTCATTGTACCCCAATGCTCCGGAATATCGCGCTTGAGACAATCAAACTGCTCGTCCATTTTATGTGCCCAACGTTGTAGCAAAAGGGGATTTACATCATTCAACACTAGTGGATCAACTTTGAGTGAGACTACATTCTTCTTTTCATTTGAGATGAAGGAAAATTGACTTACAAATTCCGATGTCGAAGGTAAACGTGTTAATAAATTCTTTAAATCGGATAATTCACTAGATTGCGCCCTTGTAGATAAATAAACCCGGTAGCCAACCGTCAGCATCATAGCTCCAACACCAGTCAAAAGCAATATCCAGCCAAAGAAATTGGTTTGCCAGGCGATATAGCTGAATAATCCAAACCCTATGGTCGACGCAACTAGCCTGAGTCCAATTTTAGAAGAAGTGAGGCCTGTCAACTGAGACATTTTCCTCGTAACAGATAATCTAGGTCCCAGTGAGTTAATATGATACAACGCCCTAAAAGTAGCTATCTGAAACGAAAACGATCTCAATGAGCATCATCCAACATGAACTATCCCATAATTCCTGAGCAGAACTACACTGTAAAAAAGTGTGTAAATGACGCACTGAAAGTGAACTCCTAGTGATTCCCAGTGACCCTCTAGAATGTACGCCATAGGTGTGTAAAATACACATTGAGAAATAGGGCTGTCTGTTTACTTATTACTCGGTGTTACTTTACCCAGTAAAGTAACAGGAATTTAGTACTTATTACTAGTAATTAGTAATAACAGATGTTTTGTTACTTTGTTACTTTTGGTAAAGTAACATAAATCAAGTTTATTTTGTTTCTTCATGAAAACTTTTTTGAGAAAGGTTTTGTGAGGGTGAGGGTGAGATAATTGAATTTCATTAGATGTCTTATAAGTTATGACTCTTCTCTTAGCAGTGATGTATAGCTAACAAATATTTCAAGTACTTCTTTATCAGGCGTTCCACCACCTTTTAGCAAGTATTTCGCCCTCATAAAACCTTACTTAGTGAGTCCGCTGGCAGAAATACCTGCTAAAAGATTGTTCCTTGTTATTTTACCAAAGTAAAAAAGTAACAAATCATTGTTACTTTGTCACTATTAACAAAGTAACAAACTAGCATCTGTTGTTACTAATTACTAGAAACAAGTAACATCAATTGTTACTTGTTACTAGTAAAGTAGGGGTAAACAGACAGCCCTACTGAGAAATGGCTATATAGCTTTATACACTGACGAGATGTGAGATTAATAGTACAGTCTTATTGTGTAATCCGTCTGCGCTGAAAATATTTCAGATTCATTGATCCGTTGTCCGAATCTTACATATAGCGATGGGTTTGTTTTTTCACTGTTTTTGTTATTCGTTTTGTCTCAGCATGGCAGTATATATACTTTTGTGATCACGATTTTGAAATTATTTTTTTGTTTGATGCTGTAGCTAGCGTGAAAAATGAAAAATACTGGAACTTTTTAATACATTTAGATTTTTACACACTGAGATTGATCGTCTAGAAAAACTACCCACTTTTCGATGCTGAGTGAATGTTTAGGCCATTTTACACATCTAGCAACACACTTTTTTTACAGTGTACCTGCTCTATTATTACGGATTTTCGGTTTTGCTCTTATCAGCGATTATTAAGGTATGAAGTGTGTGCCAAAGTGTATCTTTTAAATAAACATTAAAGAGAGGAAAACTAACGATGAAATGGAAGATACGTGATGATCCGAACGATACGAAGAAATGACGACGAATGAATCCAAAAACCGAAACGCGTATGAGCATCTCTCTCTCTCTACTTAGATCACTGACTACAGACACGAAGGAAGAAAAGAAACAATGATCACATGTTATTTGATCAAAAACCTAACGATAGAAAAGGGATATAATAAAGGGATATGTAAAAATAGTACAGTGATAGAAGATAGAAGAATCACGTGTACAAAATGAGAAAGAAAAAAACGCGAAAAAAGAAACTAACAAAAGCACCACGTGCTATGTGAAACGACAAGGTCTTGTAGCAATCCTCTCGTTACAGAAAAAATGTATTATATCTGCATTTTGAGAAACTTAATGCTTGAATAAAGAAAGGCAAATAGAGTTGATTAGAAAAGCGAAAGCGAAATAGATAAGCAAATGAACGTGAGAAAAAGCTTTGGGACAAATACACTTATTACACCCCCCTCATATATCGACTATTTCAGTTTAAATAGCCTCTGCGGAGTTCACTGAGTGCATTCTTAACAGTCTCTGATCGATAGATCAAGGCATATATGAATCACGTTCCTCTTAAACTTGAAACTGCATAAAAGGTTTATTTTGACAGATAAGATATAAAAAGTGCTTCAAAGAGACAGTCAAATAATTAAAAATCACCGGGTCCCCAATCAGGATCATCCATATCTTCGATTTCATCTTCGGTTTCACTATCAAGTGTTCGCTTGCGTCCCTTCGGGGTTCGGGGAACGGGCACGTGATGTTCGATGCCCTCACTTTCGGGCGTCGGAAGATTTATCTCATTCAGTGTAAGTCCCTCTAGTCCTAACTCTCGTGGTCCAGGATAGACACGAATGACGTCGTTGACAAACTGCTGTAGTTGACCACCAAGGGTCTTGTGCTTCTTTATGTAGCGATTAAAGTAGAAGTGCATGGCCATATACTGATAAATAAGTTTGTCAGAACGACGAGACTTGATGAAACTCTTCAAATGTTTGTTATTATTTTCAATACTGTTGATGTGGTTTTCCTTGTCATTTCTGCCAACGAACTCTCCTTTTGAATGGTTAACGACAGTGTGTTGGGTTGAAGCCGAAAAGAGCGTCTTCACTTTGGTATA